CAATTACCGAATAGTGTTCCGGTTTGGACTGCACTAACATCTCATTTATGAGTTTGGCTATCTCTTTGTTCTTTCAATTTCAGTTCTTAAATTCATTAATTAATTCTTTCATTTATGTGATAGGCCTGCATTTAAAATGAATATTTACCATAAATTAAATGTATCTTATATTATTAGATATGTTATTATAAAACATGCTTTAGTTAAGGAATTATTGATACTTCAAGTGCAAAATAATGATATAAAACCATGATAAAAATACACTTTTAAGTATTAATCACCGTACCTCAAAGATAATACAAGATGCATTTCACTACAGCCTAATAAGAATTTATAGGAGCATGCATACTGACAGATTTTATTAATAACAAGGCAAATATCTAGGCGTGTAAAAATAAGATATTGAAAAACACCTATAATTTGATGAAAGCATGTAGCATTAAAATATAATGGATTTGGCAGAATGGTAGCTTTGGATGTAGAGATAGGAGTATCAATAGGTTTTCAAGATAATATATCAACCCAAGTAAGGATGTCAAATGTATATTTATGTTGGCGAAGCGTAAGACCCATATCAGTAGACTGAACCCCAATACCCATAAAATAACGAATAGAACCCAAGTTGTGAAGCTTAAATTCTGAGCTCAGTAGCTGTATGAGGCATTGAAGCATAAGAGAGTTGCTTCCCATAAGCAGAATATCATTAACGTAGACTAGAAGATAACAAATATCAGCAATAATAAAAAAGATAAATAATGAGGTTTCCACCTTAGAGGCATGAAAACCAATAGATAATAGAAAATCATTTAGACTAGTGTACCAAACCCGAGGAGCCTGTTTTAAACTATATATAGACTTATGTAATCGATACACATGAAAGGGAGAGCAGAATCAACAAAACTTGGAGGTTGTTTAATGTAGACCTTCTCGTCAAGAATACCATTGATGAAGGCATTATAGATATCAAACTGATGAATTTTCCAACTATATGAAATGACAATGGAAAAGACTAATCTATCAATTGCTTGTTTGATGACAGGATTAAAGGTTTCAGAGTAATCAATACCTTTTTGCTGAGTGAAACCTCTAGTAACTAGATGTTCTTTATACCTCTTGATGCTATCATTAAATCTGTGTTTAATCTTGTACACCCACTAACTACCAACAACATTCATGAAAGGATGAAACAATACTAAGATCCAAGTTTTGTTTGTGTGTAAGGCCTAAATTTCCTCAAGTATAGCATTATGCCATACCTCATATCTATTAGCATCATTAAAAGCAAGTGGCTTATGAGAGGGATGAGAAACTACCCAGCTGAAGAAGGCAGCAGAGGTTGCGATAGTGGCAGTGGACAACACTGTCTTAGGTTGTCTAGGATGAAAGACCATGTGATGTTGATGAGTAGCTGGACATGGAGAAGTGAGGCCTATACCTAGAAGGTGTTGGAGAGGATATGAGGAATGGTCAACACAGAGCTGTATACCAGCCAGAAAGTTAATGGAAGGATTGGTCGGCATTGCAGACACTAGTAAGGCTGCAGTAAAACTAGGATGTTCTGTTACAAAACCGGGTTGCTCTACTGCAGCAAACTTGAGAGCATGCGTATCTGGTGATGAAGGACCTATTTTTGCATAATAATCATGAGAAAGACAAGTATATGGTAATAGTATAGCAGTGTGGGATGGTGATGAAGCGGTAGCAGAATCTATGGGCAAATAAATGGTCTGTTGTGGTGCAAAAGAATGCAAAATAGAGTTGTTGTTGGGGCCGATTTGGTAAGTAGTATGTTGCAAAAGTGGAGGAGGGTTCAAGGATGAAAGATGGGTAAGTTGTGTTGGAGATACTAAGAGGATATTACCTGTTTAGATTTTATAAATATGATGAGATTCTAAATCAAGACAACAATAACCAAGATGAGATAAGCTATAGCCTAAAAACATACAATGAAAGGACCGAAAATCTAATTTATAAGTATGATATGGACGCAAAAAGGGAAAACAAAGACATCCAAAAGTACATAGAAAATTATAATTTGGAGTACAACGAAACAAACACTCAAACAGAGATGTATTTTGGAGAACAAAAGTAGGCATGCGATTAATAAGATATACCGATGATTTAAAAGCATAGTTCTAAAATCACAATGGTACATTAAATTGACCTAAAAGGGTTAGGTCAGTTTCAATAATATGTCGATAATGACATTCAACAGTGCTAATTTGTTCATGAGTATGAAGACAAATTAATCGATAATGAATAACAATAGTTTGACAAAAGTTATTTAATTTATGATATTCATTGCCCTAATCAGTTTGAACAGATTTAATTTTAAGTGAAAACTAACGCTTAACAAGTGTTTGAAAAAGATAAAAAGTAGAAAATACATCAAATTTCACAACAAGCGGATAATATCGTATATGTTTGGTATGCACATCGAAAAAAATAACAAAATAACAGAAGCTATCAGAAGAAAAAATAGGAGCAGGACCTCAAACATCACTAAATATTAAATCAAGTAGGGCAAAATTTTTGTGACCTATAGGTCGCAATGACAAATGTAACGACTTGCCTAAAGGACAAACTTGACACTAAATAAGAGAACATCTAGAAGTACATATAATTTTATTGCTAAAAATTAACAAAATTTTAAATACAAAGGGTTGGATGACCCAAACGATAATGCCATAGGTCGGCAGTCATAGAGATGCACAGAGACCAAAAAGCTTGAGGAACTGATATGGCAGAAGACTTGGAGAGGACATGAATACCATCGTTACTCTGACTGAAAAGGATAACTTCCTTCATGATGAGATCCTTGATATAAAATATAAAAGCGTGAAATTCAAAATAAACATGATTATTAAGATAAAATTTTGAATATATAACAACGGCTTTGTAATGTGAGGCACGTAAAGAACATTAGATAATGTAAAAATGCGTTTTGGGGAAGGTAATGTAGTATGTCCAATATGGGATATGTCAATGCCCTTACCATCATTAATATGCAAATAACCATTATCAAGTAGGGTGTAGAATGATTAAGAGTGACGTGTTGATTTGCATCTATGTTTAGGAACTAAGTTGTAACAGAAAAATTCCTAACAGTAATGTAAGTAGAGGGTTGGTAGTTCTTACTGCGAAACTAGGAACAACGGGGAGCTATATGACTGAAAAATTCTGGGTTGCTGCCAATTGTTTGGCTGTCAATCTGTAACATATTGACCCTTGTTGTGGTTAATGTAGCGGTTGTTGTTGGAATGTCAATTACCTCGAGAGCGACCCTTGTTACGACTAAAGTTGGGGATGTGATGAGACATAGCAAGGTGAGTAGAAAACTATGGTGTTGGTAGTTGTGGTGGTTGTTGTGGTAGAGTAGAAGAAGACAACAAAGAGAGAGCGACATCCATGAAATGGAAGGAGTTTTTGTGTAGAAATTCATAGGGTAAGAAGGTGGTTGTGAAGATCAGTGTATGACAACGGTTCTGCCTTGGTTATAAGACTCGTTTCCAAATCTTTGAACTCACTATGAAGGCCACAAAACACATAGAGATTCAAGTCTTTAAAAGATATGGGGCAACTGGCAGCAACCAATTCATTAAATAATGATTTGGCTTGCTGCATGTATATACTAACCAACGAGTCACCTTGCTAAAGGTCTCGAAAGGAGCCATAAAGGTGTATGATATGAGAATTAGACAGATAGGTAAACGTTTTCTCAAAGGTGTGTCAAACACAATGCAAGGTAGAACAATCTACCACGAGACGTAACACATCTACGAAAAGAAAGAAGAGAAAAGCACTCAAAATAAGTTGATCATGTTGCTTCCAACAAAGAAAAAAAAGGCTGATGGTAGAGGAAGAACCAACAAAACTTTAAAAAATACGAGATGGAAGACACAACACTAGGCCATTAATAAAGTCAAAAACACCTTGACCAATGAGATATGGCTTCATCTGCATTTACCAATAGAGAGAATTTGTATTTGTAACTTTCAACGAAACAACTAGATAGATGTTTGATAAAGGAGCAATAGCTAGAATGTGTGTTCCCATAAGAGGTAAAGGAACGACAAAAACTTACGAGAAAGAATCAGAGACATTCTCTGCAAGTGGAGGTTGTCATAAGGGAGAAAAAACGCCATCAGCAGCAACTTGAGGATGGCTGGCCTACTATGCTGCACCACTAGTGGAGAGAGAGAAGTCAGCAACAATAGTAGAATCCATGTAGGAATAAAAAAAACAAACAAAGAGAAGGCTGATTACAAAGGGAGAGAAGGAGAAAAATGTTCTGACGGCAAAAAGCACTGATACAAAGTCGAGAATAATTAAGAGGCTTAACCTAGTGGTTAGCCGACCCTTTCTATATAAATATGTAGGGCAATATACAATAGCAATGGTGAAGATTACCATATAAGAGTATGTCTACAATATTTATTATATACAATATTTTCTATATAAATACATTCTATAATATAAAAAATTAAGTTATAAATTAATGTGATTGAAATTTTATTGATGATTAGAAATGAAAGTTGCAAAAGAGCATCTAAGAGATGGCCATGGAAAACTTGATCGGTCAACAAAAATTTAAACACTCTCATTAAAGAATAATCTAATCCTATTTGAAAAAAAAGCAATTTTACTTGAAATTCTTTGATTTTTTTCGAGGTTTAATTTGAATGTCAATTTTCATATGATTCTAAATAAATAGCAAGATGCATTTAAATCATTATTGAACTGGTTAGCTGTTATAAATTATTCATGATCATGATTTTATATTAATAAATCTGATTTATAATTAAGCTAGCAAGCAATCTTTAGTAGAAACATTAAAAATGAAAAATACTAGTGTGAAAAGGAGCAACCTTTTTCTTGTATAAGTAGTGCTAATGTCATCAAGCACTCAGCAAATTGTGGGAAGACCTAAGGGGAAATTTTATATATACTATCACTCTTCTAAATGAAGCAATGATTTTGACATCTCAACCATTTTGATTTCTTGCTATCACCTCCTTCATACTTTTTCCACTTTCTTCTTTACCTTGCATACTAGCCATAATATTCAATAAATACAACAATATCGAGAGTGCTCTTTCATATTGATTGCCAGCGCAATTCTCTTATGTTCTCCTCCCCGCCCCGCCCCGGAGCCCCCTCTGATCAAAGACCAGATCATCTTGAATGCTTCGAGCTCCAAGGACATTAAGTGGTAAATGCTTGTTGGATCTTGATCAATCATCTTGTCATGTGGTAAGTACTGTGGAGAAAGTGGGGGATGTTGGGATGGCTCAATCATATCAAATCTCCCAAACTACGATTTTTGGGTCTTTTAATCTGATTGAGCCGTGCCAATATCACACTTCTTATGATCCTTCAAATTTCTTATTTTCTTAGTGCTTTTGATGGAAATATTTTTTCATATTTATCTTATTTTTCCTTTAATCTTTATCAATCAACTTCTATGTTATGCCCAAATTAATTTACTGAATCCATATGATAAACACGTATAATACTGTCAGAATTCTTGTAATATATTATTGAACACCATGGTTATATTCTGAAAAAAAGACAGATATAAATTGGTTTTCACAAATTATCTGAAAGTTTACGGTCTAGTTCGATATAACTTGTTGAAGAATTTGGGGTGGTTTGTAGTCATGATATAGCAAAGGAGTTCATACTCATATATTGACAAGCTCCTTTGTTAAGCTTCTTGTCTTCTTCATAAACTTCTGCTTGACCAACTCCTACAATATTTAGCACTGAACAATTCATTAAGCACTTTTTATATGCCAATGATATCTCTTTCTCTCTCCAGTCCCTTATTAAATCTTGCATGATCTTAGATCTCATAGCAAGACTACATATATATTATCATTAACCTGCAGATATTTGATGCACCCTAAATTTATTAATCAGTGGATGGTTCAAGCAATAACACAAGACAATATATTCGCTCAATCGATCCATAAGCTTCCACACTATCGTTTTCCTCCCCATCATCATCTCTGGAAATGATGTAAGCATGGGGATCGATGCTATATAGGTCGGTTTACTTTCGTTTTCGAAGTCAAAAGTGCAAATCAGTCAGAGAGAAAGGGTTGGCTATGTTTTTGCACAGTACGTGATGTTGTTCTTGCAGGATTTTAATTATCGTGGATGAGTGTTAAGATACCCTAATATGTATGTTTTTCTTGGGAAATGTATATGGTTAATTCATCCCTCATTTTACATTTCCTTTTATCTTTCACTTATTTATTTAATCATAAATATTTCGAAGAAAATTGGCCAACGAAGGTTTTCAATATATCTTCATTATTTCTATCCAGAATTAATTTTTCCATACTCTTTAGTGTTCATATGAAGTTTAGTTTTAGGGTTTAGGCATGTGTGAATGACCCAAAATAGAAAAGAAATCAAGAAAAGGGTCTAGACGAAGATATAGTAATAACGAAGATCCATATATATAGATAGCCCTCTTGCTTGCAAATCCATGGATGGGTTAATGAAATTTGTGTCCGGTACTTGAGCATGCATCAGTGGAAGCATGTTCTTTTCTTTTAGTTAGGTGCCTAGTTAATTAACTCTCTTTTGGTTTATTTATCAATGCTAATTATGATTTTCCATCTCCTCTTTTGTAATCTATATAATTTTTCTTAATTTTATAAATTGAATTTAGTCGATTAATTTATATAAAAAAAAAAAAATACTGGTTATGATGTATAAATTGAATTTAGTCGATTAATTTATAAACAATAAAAAAAAAATACTGGTTATGATGAAATACACCCTACTTCTGCAATGATCTTTGTATGTGACAAGTATGCATTAAACTTACTCTTTGATATTTGTGCAGATATATGTCTGCATGTATTAAGAGAGAAACCGTTGAATAATTTGATGGAGTTGCCATGTAATATCATGTAGGGTTTCATAATTTCCATTACCTGTCATTTGATGCCTTTTCTTTTCCTTTCATTTTTTGTAGGCTGAAAGAATACATATAGTCTACAGATAAAATTGAAATATTCCCCCCACATATGCTTCAACGAAGAATTTGTTTTGCAGCATTACAGGGAAATGGGAAAAACGCGGAAAGTTCTTTCAGTTCCAGCAATAATTTCTTGGCAGCCATCAAGAGAGCTACATTTAAATGATTTGTGATCCTAGGGAAAGTGGCAGGGAATTGAATCATGAAACAGAAACCAGGATTGAACTAGCACATATATAACAGAGAAAGGGAAATGAACCTGCAGCTATTCCCCCAGAACTTTCATCGGGGAGCACGTTTCTGATATAAATAAAGCCTCTTACATACACAACTCAACACCATCCCAGAAATACGATCGAGGACACCCTCTATTGCCATCTTAACCTAGGATCCTGTGAATTTCTTAACCTAAGAAAATGATATGATCATGGATCGTTCTTTAGGTTTCCACATAATTTATCTCCAAATAAATCAATGATCCTTCTCTATGTCTCCATGCCTACTTGTTTTTGAAAGAATCAATGATCATGGAACAATTCCATGCATTCCTAGACGTTAGAAAAATTATGAATAAAACTCATGCACACACTTCACAACACACACAAAAGATAACATTACTTTCACTAGTTAAGTCTTTTAAACATATATGTTTAAAATATAAAAGAATTATAATCATTTGGATCATGGCCACGAGAACAATATGCTTGTTGCTTTATTGCCTTGTCATTTGGCTTGTGGAGGAACAAATGTAAAAACCTACGATGTTCAGACTTCAGCCTAAGCGACTACACCCTGACCCTTGCGTCAAGGTGTCCAATACGCACATACTTTAATATTTTACCAAGTTTTGTTAAGTTAAAAGACAACGATATGCACTGCCCATGCATACAATTTTCTATGCTTTATTCATAAATTCTCTCAAGTATACACTTCTATATATAGGGTCAACACTGTATTTTTAGTCAACGACTTAATGCAACACATAACATAGTTATACAAATCAACACCTTCTTTTTTAATCAATCATTATTTTTAATGTTTTTACTCACACTTAAAATGTTTAATATTATGCACTTATAATTTTCCTAGTATATTATGATATTGATTAATTTTGGAGTAAAAAAATAGATTTAAATTTATTTTTGTATGGTGATTTTACTTGTAATAATTGTTTATGATTTCAACTTTATCTCTATGCACAATTCATGTATGCATATGATAATAGGTGACAGATAATAGTACAACCTATTATTTTTTGGTTGGAAGATTGGTGTTTAGCCTACATTATTGAGTTTAATTAACTTGAATTTTTATTTTGGACTTGAGATTTATTTTCCTTGTTAATTGTTATAAGTTTTGCTATCTAGACATAATTTCTGACATCATAGATAAATTATGATGAATTACTAAACGTTATAGATTTGCAAGCTTCTCCTCCTTTTTGCTTTTGTTTTTTTTCTTTCTTTGGCTTTTTCTTCTTAGCTTCTTCTTTCTTTGCACTTAATTTTTTTGTCCCACATCACATTTGGTGCAAAATAATCAAATGTAAAATATATCTTGTGTCAAATATATCATGGATGAACCCACAAATAAAAATTATGACAAGACTTTAGTATGACAGAAAAATTTACATAAATTTAAAATTATTCCAGCTTTTTATATCACTTAAGTAAAAGTAGTAGATGACAAAGTACATTAGCTTCTAACCACAATAACTTAACAAAGTTGCTTGACTATCATTAAGGTATAAACTGATAAGAATAAAAATACTTCAAGTTGTTGTTCTAGAATAAGGTAACCTTAACACCTAAAATAAGAAATGAATTAGATATATTACTAAATCAACAAATAATAAAAATTAATTCAAATAAATACAATAACTAATAATATAATTAAAGTGCTTAAATAAAAAAATAAGAAATAGAATTGCAAACTCGTTTTGTATATGGTTTCTCTCTCTCTCTCTCTCTCTCTCACACACATATATTCTAAATGAAAAAAAGTCTACAAAAATAATAATACTTTATTATACTCAAATTCGTTATTTTATGAGATATTAAGATACAAGAGTTTTAATCTCTATTAAAAGAATGAATTGTGGTATCGAAAATTACACTTGTAAACTTTTAGAAGTCAAGGAAGAAACTCTTGGTTTAAAAGATTTTTAAAATATTAATTTAGAATATTTATATGTATATAGCAAAAACTAACCATTTATATATAGTCATTACAACTTTATTGATAGTTGAAACAATTTACTAGTTTAGATTGGTCAAGTTATTTAATCGACTAGTTCTTGTATAATTTTAAAATGTTTGTAAACTTTTAGAAGTCAAGGAAGAAACTCTTGGTTTAAAAGATTTTTAAAATATTAATTTAGAATATTTATATGTATATAGCAAAAACTAACCATTTATATATAGTCATTACAACTTTATTGATAGTTGAAACAATTGACTAGTTTAGATTGGTCAAGTTAATTGATCGACTAGTTCTTATATAATTTTAAGATGTTTATTACTAATGAATATAATTTTAAGATGTTCATTACTAATGAATATGTGGTCAACAGATTTATTTAGTCATACAAAATAGTGATTGGTTTACGCAGAATTTCAGTTTTGATAAATTAACTTAAATGAGAAGTATCTATTTTTTATTTTATTAAATGATTTATTGATCCTTTAAATGTTTGTATAGTGAAATGTGTATTTTAATGAAACTATCAAGTATGATATAAAAATTTACATGAGCACTAAATTGAATACTTAATCTAAATTTTCACCTTGTTTTCTTCTTGGATTTCTTGAATGTTGATATATTTTTTAAATAAATATGTATAAAATTTATTTTCAACAAAACATATAATTAACAAAACATGTTATTAGCAATTTTTTATTTTATTATTATAGTCAAAATATAAAAATATTAACATTTGACATAAAATGCAACACAAGCTGCGTGACAAAACTCAACTAAATTTTGCAGGCATAATTATGCAAATGTTTGCAGAGCATCTCAAACAAGAAGAAAGCCTATTATTATATCCCATTTTACTATAATTATAATTTACAACGAAAAAGCCAAAAACCTAGGGAAAGGAAATGTGTACTATGCTGCGGTGCATTAATTGTTCGCTCATACTAAGATTATTATGGATTGAAATTTTTTTTGGTCATCCTTCTAAATCAAATTAAGATGACTTTATGTGTTTAGATTTCTTTAGCTTTACATATTCTCACATATACCAACTATTTATAAAAGGAATTTTTTTATGATAAATTAAAAATTGATTTTGTAAAATAAAATTTTAGATAGCAATTATATATAAAAAAAATACCAAAAAAAAACTTCATTTTCATTTTGATAAAGAAAACTTCTATTTGGTCCCTAAAGTTTGGATTTATATATTTATTTTCTCCCTGTTGTTTTATAATTTATAATTACATTCCAAACTTTATTTTTTTCAAGCTCTTACCCCTAAATGTTGGGAGAGAAAATTATTAAAAAAATTTGAGGAAATAAAAAGTGATTGAATGGCGAAACTTTAGTCACAAAAAATATTGAGTTTGGTATTAATGATTTCATCTTTGTGAGAGGAGTTTAATGGAGATTATATTTTTTAATCATGTTAAAAAAATAGATCAGGTTTCATAAACTTCTTTTCTTTTCATTTAATTTATATTTTTTTAGTCACAAAAAATATTGAGTTTGGTATTAGTGATTTCATCTTTGTGAGAGGAGTTTAATAGAGATTATGTTTTTTAATCATGTTAAAAAAATAAGTAAGGTTTCATAAACTCCTTTTCTTTTCATTTAATTTATATTTTTATAGAATGATTAGAGGGTGGTTGGGGTTGGAAATGCATTTATTAGAATTCCTAGGGTGTTTTTGAGATATTTTTAAAATAAGTTGAAAAAATAATTTTAAGATCCTAAAATTCTAACATTGATTTTCCAATCACCAAAAAAAAATAAAAATCTAATAAGATACGAGAAAATTTTATCAATTATCTTAATTACTCCAATATGTTTGATAATAGAAGACACAAACAAATAAACTATTCAAAAGGGGAGACTTCACAATAAAATTATAACATTTTACTGATTTTTTAAAGACACAATGATCCCCTTCTAATTTCTAACAAAATCTATTAAGGTCATCAAAACACAAAAAAAGAAAAGTATCCAATTCAATCTAAGAGAGTTTGCACTAAATATACATATGATCTATCCCTGATTTTTTAAAGGCCTTTTCTAATGCAAACCATCAAGAAAACTCTAAATTAAATCCAATTCAAGAAATATACTCTACACTAAATATATGATCATTCATGGTTCTTCTAAAAACACCCAGCAAACCTTTTTCGTCTGGATCGAGAGAAAAAGCTGAAGCAAGCTTTGGTTCGGAGAGGATTCGATGGCAAACATGGTTCCATGATTTGCTAACACAAGCTGCATATACCAATGATAAATCTGGCACTCTATAGTATATGTTTTGAACAAGTTATGGATTCAAAGACTTAGATTGGCATTTGGGGTTCTTTTGTTTTCTTCTCCTTTGAACAGTATCAGAATTTTGCCGCTCCTGCTCAAAAGAAGATGGCCCTTTCTTTGAACTATACGTCACTGCTCTACGACCACTCAACGACAAACCGTTTTCTGTAGATATCTATCTCTACTCTCTAGACTAGGAGTCCCTTTAGTCCTGATTTACTGGTGTTCAATGGGATGTTTGCGAATGACATCGGATCGTGTTTCTGCATAATTTTAAGTTTTTTAAATTATTTTTTTATATATTTTTAAAAGTTTTTATCACATGAAGTTAAAAATATTATTAATTTTTATGGTTCTGGATTTGAAAACAACTAAAGCATGAACTATAGATGCCATGATATTTCTAATTTTAAGACTTATTTTCATATCTTATACTACAAACCTCCCCTTCAACAAAAAAAATAATAATCTTTGTTTGTTGCGTTAAAAAGATTTAATTATAAGCCTACTAACAACAAATCCAAAGCAAAAATATTTTTAAATAAAATAAAAATAAAATTTTAATTCATAAACTATTATATGAAAAGATAAAATATGTTAAGGTATATGAATCGGGATAAGTTGATAGAGTTTCAAAATTCTTAACCTGTCTTTTAATCTGTAATATTTATTTTTTAGATTTTTTAATTTATTATCATCTATAATCTTCATATCATTTAAATTAATATAAATATTACATATAAACTCCTTTTTTTTTAACACTTCTACCGTGAATGAATGTGAATACTTGTTTACTGTTTAATTGGCAAATTTATCATTTTTTCTTTTGAACGAAAAAAATCTAAAATTTCTACGTCCAATATCCGTAAGACAAGACATTCCAACCAAGAATAGATATTTTCAATCTAGAAATAAAATAAAATATTTTCAATCTAAATATAATATAAAATAAAATATTAATATTGTAGCTATCAAGACTGCAGTGTTGAGAGTTGCGCC